GTGTGTGTGTGTGTGTGTGTGTGTGTGTGTGTGTGTGTGTGTGTGTGTGTGTGTGTGTGTGTGTGTGTGTTCACCCTTTGACCCAGTAGCTCCACTTTTAGAATTTCTGTGCTGGGGATATTTAACAACTGTGCAAATTTTAGTGTAAATTGTTCATCACAGCATTGTTCACACTTACAAAAAGAATAGGCCTAATTAGAATTGGCTAAATTGACAGGTGTTCAGCGGTGCCATGGGATGCTGTGCAGTCTTTGACATGATTTAAATGAACTCACAGGGAATGGTTTCCTTTTCTGTCACGAGAGGCCGGTGGGTTTGGCTTACGTGGTTCGGCGTCAGGCCTCGGGCGGGGTCTCTGCCCTGGATGCTTAACGCGGGTTATGCTACACGTGGTGCCTGGCGCCTAAGGGAGCCCCAAGCACGGTGCTTAAGCCTAAAGGAATTCGACCTGAGGATTCTTCCCGGGACACCAACTACTGGCAGAAAAGAGCCCCACACCTCGCCTCACCTACCGAAGGCCAAAGGTAAGCGACTCCACTTGAGATCATCAGTGCGGCTGCGTCTTCCGTAAGAATCCACGAACACCCCAAACTCTGCAAGGAGGCAGAGCCCAGGGCATGAGCACGGCCAGAGGCAGGGGTATCAATGACACACACTTTGATGGAAGAGTAAGGAATCCAGTCCAGGGGGCTTGGATTGTGAAAAACCTCAGGAGCTCTGCTGAGCCACGTCTCTCGGGGATTTATTAAAGAAAGAGGGTTCGAGTGAAAGGGGGGGAGACAGGAAAAGAAGGGGGAAACGGAAGGAGGAAGAGTCAGGGAGTGAGGAAGAGGGAGAAGCAGGCCCAGAGATTTGGGAGGAAAAAAGAAGGAAAGAGAGAGGAGAGGGAGAAGGGAGTGAGGGGCAGAGAAGGACAGAGCAGGCCACTCTTGGAGAGACTGACAGCGCCAGACCTGGCTGGAGCCCGGGGGTGGGGCGGGGGCACCCGGCGTACCCCCGCCCCCCAGCCGAAGCAGGACCGGCCCCGCCCCAGGCACACTGGCCACGCCCGGCCCCGAGGAGCCTGCCCGGGGGCTGTGGTGCTGTGAGCGCCCCCATCAGCAGCGGGGAGGCTGCCGCACTCACCATGGAAGCAGAGCAGGAACTCCTCCCGCTGCCCCGCGCCGTTCACCTGCATGATGGACACTGGGAAACTGTGGGAAGAGGAGGCAAACACGGCAGGTGCCAAGGAATGGTCGTTCTTATCCAGGAATTCTGTGAAGGCAGACAAGAGGCGGAGCCTCAGGACCCAGAAGGAGCCTGAGGCGGCAGCAAGCGTGGGCAGGGGGTGCACCCAGGCCCTACCCTCCAGCGTGTACTGCTTCATGTCAATCTCGTAGAACTTATTGGTTCCGATGAGGATACTGTAGTTGGTGAAGTGCACACAGCTGCAGGGCTCCGAGGTCTCGATCTCCTGAGACGGGGCAGAGAGGAGCATGTGAGCGCAGACTCGGGGTGGCCCCTGCTCTCCTCGGCATCTAACCAAGCCGTGCTGGCGTTGCCGCGCGACTTCCTCCTTCTGTCTTCACACCAAGCACATTCAGTCTCTTCACGTCCCTCACGAGGACCACCCCCCCACCCCGCCATCCTTTTGCTACCTCTGGGTTCTATGCAACCTGAGACTAAGAAGGTCGAGTTGCACCCAAAAAAAGGGCCAGAAACACCATTTCAATGAAAAGGTAGCATTCAAAAAGAGAGCTTTAAAACTACGACATTCTAATCAGAAGAAAAGGCCTGGAGGAATACACAAACAGTGGTGGATAGAGGGAGTGGTTTTAGTTTCCTTTTCCAAGCTTCTAGGTTTCTATTCTGAACCTATATCACCTATATCATTGTTACCATTACTGAGTTATCTCATCTATCTGAATTACCTGCCTCCTAATTACTTACACTTGTTTTCAGGTCAATCCTAATGGCTTCAAAAACCTAGGCATGCTTATTCCAAATGATGGCCAGCAATTATAAAGCAGCAGTGATTTCTGGGAATTTTCCTGAAGTTAACAGTTCAAACTCTAATCAGCATTATCCTCAACACTAAATATTTATTGATCACCTACTAAGTATGAGGAAACTAGTATAACACAGTGCAGCGTTAGGGAAAGTCAAACTGCAGTCTGGGTCTCAACTTTGTAACCTAGGATCTTGGCCAGCCTCAGTCATCTTACCTGAAAATTAGGGATGATCATCCCTGTTTCTCACAACTGTTGTGAAAAGTGTGTGAAACAGCCAGCTCAGTCTCTGGTACCAGTAGGTGCTCAATAAAAATGCAAACTAAACAAGAGCCCGCCCCAGATGAAACAGTTTCTCTAACAGGTAACAACCCTTATATATTCATCCCTCCTTTTACTTTCGAGACTAATCACGAAAGCACCTGAAATACATCAGGCTTAGGATGGGTGGAACATGCCTAGTCTAGGGACAAGAGACAGCCTTCTCCAGAAGCAAGGCAAGTGCAGTGATCTCACGGGTAGCTGTCCACACCGCAGGCAACATCACAACCCACTGTGCTCCGAGGAGAGCCAGCTCCCGCACTGTGTATCAAAACACAGCCAGCACTGATTTTTTTGAAGGTCATTAATAGAGACTTTTACAATCTGAGAAGGATTCTGGTAGGTGCCACCAGGGCTTCCAGCTCCTCAGAGAGATCTTCCTTTCTTCTCCTGGTTCAAAAGAGGTGTCTCCTCCATCGGCCACCTTCCTTTCTCCCTTCACAAAAGGCTGAATTCACTGGGCTGGCCAGAGAGGCAGCTCACATACGCAGGGGAGGAGGGCGAGAGGGAAAAGCGTAAGGATGGGCCGCTCTGGAGCTTTCTCCAGGGAGCAAGACACCCTCCCACTCTCTCCAAGGTCACCCAGGCCGAAGGGCCCAGGCACACACTACGCCCCGAGACAGCACCTTCCCCACCTGCTCGCTGGGAGAGCAGGCCCGGCCAGGCCCGGGACTTACTTTCCGAATGCAGTACTTGCTGAGGTTTTCGTTGTAGCGGAGAATGACAACTTTGTTGGGCATGGCCGCACAGATGCAGAGCCCGCTCTCAATCTGAAAAGCAGTTGAGGGGGGAGCGGGGACGGAGAAAGAAGGAAAGAGAGTGTCACCAGTGTGTACACTGGCTCCATGGCAAACTAGGAAGGGAACATCAGCTGAGAGCAGGGCCTCTCAAGCCTGGCACTACGGACACTTTCTGTGGTGAGGGGCCATTCTGGGCACTGTAGGATGTTTAGGAGAAACCCCAGGCCCTGCCCACTAGATGCCAACAGTGCAACCACCAGTTGTGTCGAAAAGCAACAGAAACTTAACCCAGTTTGAGGACACACAATTTTCAAGGTCAAATCAATCAGCCCACAATTTCAAGAGCACTTGCCGGCTGAGGCCCGCCAGGGGTGCTTACCTTGCCGGCAGCAAACAAGTGGCAGCCCTTGACGGCTTCGAAGATGTTGGGTGAGATGTCCGGCTGGGCGGGAAGGTGAGACTGTGCAAGGGACTGTTTCACTTTCTTCACGTCCACGAGACACAGGGCCCGCTCTTCTCCTGAGGGGACGGGACAGCAGAGCCACAATGGCGGTTCTCGTCCTCCCCCGAATAAAAGCCACGCGAGGCCATGCGGAGGCACTGCTTTCCACAAATTCCCATAAACACAGTTTAGGTCCAAGTTTTAGATCTAAAAGGAAAACATCTGGCCTCTTGGTCAAGATTCTGGGAGGAAAACCAAAAATTCTGCAGACACAAAATTGGGGAACGTGAACTGAATATTCAAACGTGCTCCCCACCAAAGTCAAAGAATGGGCTGGTGACAACAAAACAGTAGACGTGGACTAATCCAGTATGTGTCACGGTGTTACGAGGGACCACAGAAAGGCTGAGGATGGTTCCACGTTCAAGGAGACGAGGGAGACCTGAGTGAGTGCAGTGTGTGGTCCTGGACTGGATCACAAGCCGGGAAAAAAATAAAGGACATTACTGGAGCCACAGGTAAAAGACAGCTATGGGCAGTACATGAGAAAATGGGAGTAGCAACGATTAAATTCCCTGAATTAAAAAGTGAAACTATTCTATAGGATGCTATAATGGCGGATACATTGTTACCCATTTGTCCAAACCTGCAGAATGTGTAAGAGTGAGCCTGAATGTAAACTGTGGACCTGGGGTGATAATGACGAATCCATGTAGGTGTACTCCGGTGGGGGACGCTGATGGAGGTGGCGGCCTGCGTGTGCGCGTGAGGGGCAGAGATATAGGGGAATTCTCCCTACCTTCTGCTCAGTTTTGCTGTGAACCTAAAACTGCTCCCAAGAATAATGTCAAGAAGGAAGGGAGGAAAGGAAGGAAAGCAAGCAAAAAATAAGAAACCAGGGGCTTCCCTGGCAGCGCAGTGGTTGGGAGTCCGCCTACCGATGCAGGGGACGCGGGTTCGTGCCCCGGTCCGGGAAGATCCCACATGCCGCGGAGGGGCTGGCCC